TCCCTGTCCTACAGGGCAGTCTAGAGGGAGATCACCAAGTACTATCAGAAGTGTGAATGCCGAGACAGTAAAACAGGCAGGACCCCAGGAACCTGGGAAGGCTCCTAATGGGCAAGCTTCCAAGGGATGGCAACCTTGAACTGTCAGCTATAGGAAGGGGGGATGGAAGAGAGACACAAACAAAGTTCAGGGAATGGAACCCCAATCACGCAGAAGCATGGCCTGGAAGCAAAGGAGAGCAAAACCATGCTACCCGGTTCAAGCTTCCCAAGGGAACAATCAAAATGACTATCAAACCTAGGGGTCACAACTCTGCTTGTCAACTTTATATATGATACATTACCTTCTATGAGGTAGTTTTTCCAATGTTGCTGTTCCTGTCAAAAAGTTGTGACTTTCCCATGGGATCCATATACTCTGAGGGCCTAAAGAAACCTTAAACAGTATCAATTAAAAGCTATTTCATTTTACACATGAGGAAATACAGGCCTAGCAAAGTTAGGCTCAAACTAGACTCCCTGTCTTTTCACCCAAACAAAAATAAAGGAATAAGTACCCTCCCCATGCAGGTTTTTTAGACACTAGAAAATCTGTGTGAATAAAAATTTGAAGTCATAAGTGTTGCAATAATTCTGTATGTAGTGTATATTAGTAAATGTACCTATTACTAGCTTAAAGTCCTTGATAATAAACTTAAAGGTTTTATCCAAACTCACTTAATTCTTCATTGAATGCTCAAATGCTCATTTCTTGACTTTTTTTTTTTTTTTTGGATACCAGGGATTGAACTCAGGGGCACTTGACCATAAGCCACACCCCCAGCCCTATTTTGTATTTTATTTTGAGAAAAGGTCTCACTGAGCTGCTTAGTGCCTCGCTTTTGCTGAGGCTGACTTTGAACTCACAATCTCCTGCCTCAGCCTCCAGAGCCCTTGGGTTTACAGGCCTGCACCACCATACAGGCTCATTTCTTTGTTTTGAAACAAACAAAAAACCACCTTACTGATAATCTACTAATAATTTTTAAAAGGCAAGGTAAATTTAGTATTGGTCTTTAAAATAAATGGCCACCACCCTTTTCTCCAGGCATAGCTAAAAGATCAGTTCAAAAAGAAGCCACTAGACTCCAAAAGACATCTTTTCCCAGAGTGATTCAATAGCAAAGGGCAGAAAGGCCATGCTTTGGAAGCTAGAGGGTTGAAACTTTACGAAATACAAACACAGTCAAAAGATGCAGGGCCCTAATTATTAAAATTTGAAGAATGGAAAACAACTCCTCAATTTAAAGTACATTAACCTAAATTTTCCATGCTGAAGGGAAGGCACACCATTTCTGCCCCTGGGTATAAAGGGAATGAAAAGGTCCTCAGGACCCAGTGGGACTTCATGCAGACTAGTCACACCCCTGGGCTGGCCTCCTTCTCAACTACCAAACTGCTTTGCTCCAAAGGCAAGGCAAGGCTGTGGGGGTGAAGTGGGGGTGTTTTGTTTAAACACACACACACACACACACACACACACACGTAAAAATCTATACCTTAAAACAAGTTTTGTGAAAGTTTCACAAGTTGTTTTTTTCTCACTTCCCTGGATTTCCACAGTTAAAGAAAACCTGAACACTATTCTCTTAGGGCGCTCAGCTAGATACTAGGGAGGGAGAGTGTGGAAAATGAGAAAGGTGACAAATGCTTCTCTCTTAAGCAGCATGTAATAGGGGCTGGGGCTGTAGCTCAATGGCAGAGTGCTTCCTGTGAGGCACTGGGTTTGATCCTTAGCACCAAATAAAAATAAATAAAATAAAGGTATTCTATCCATCTACAATGAAAAAAATTTAAAGCATATAAATAATAGTTTGCACTTTAAACTATCTTAAATACAGCAATTAAATACAGTTTTCTGTAGCAAAATCAGAGCAAAAGGCAAACATTGGGATTAAATTAGAAAGTTCCTTCATTCAACAAAACAAAACAATACTGAGGTATATTACTCTGGGAGTGCAAAAATAAGTAAAGAATATCCCCTCTTTTCTCAATGAATTCACAGCCTGGATTGTGTATGGGAAATAAGTCTTCCTTAACAATCAAGACTAAGTTAATTGTAGCTGGAAGGTAGTACTTAGTAGGGGCAGAGGAGTTCAAGTAATACGTATGGAGGTGGTGTAGAATAGGCTCAGCATTTGTCTCCGCCTATGAGCACATGAGCAAGGTGCTCTCAAAGAGGGAGGGTGGATCATCTAAACTGGTGGAAAAACCATAGTGTATCTAAAATTGGTTGCAAAATAGTTTTTAAAAGATGATGCCAATGAGAAAAAAAGTTCTTAACATTTTTAGAAAGCAACTCAGCCATCCCTCTCAAACTAAATGAGCACTCTCCTGAAACCTCCAAAAATGGGCATAATAAGAGTTAAAGCAAGCCAGTCTTGGGAATTTGAAATTCAATGCCATTATCTCCAATTGCCCTGGAAAGCAACAAATGGAATGGTCAAGGAAGAGTTTTCTAATATCCCTAAACCTTAAAAAAAAAAAATCATATCCTACTTTTCTTAAACAAAAGTAGTGGGTAGTACTGTGCTACATAAAATACATAAAACCCTGGGACATCAGAAAATCCGGTAAATTCTCGTACCCCTCAAAACGAACTGCTAAAACGGTATGCTTAGGTTCATACGGTTATGCTTACGTTCATGAGAGAGCAGCTCATGACTTAAAAAGTATAAGCGCATATCGAAAACTGCCTGACCATTTACTCCCCTCTTAACTATTTTAATGCCACTACAGGAAAGAGCAATTACAGAGCAAATACTTGGGTACGTTGACTGCAATTCAGTACTTGTGCCTTTACCACTAACCCCTACTAGGAACTAAAAGCAACAACAGTGACCCAGAGGGAAAAGCGAATCCTCTTTTGGGCAGAGCTAGTGGGAAACCTCTTAACTTTGGAGGTTAATCTCTGGGGAACGTGTAAAAGCATTCCAATCCGAATTATCTTAGGTCTACACTGCACCGCATTACACAGGTGACAGAAAGAGGGGCCTCCCAGGCCTGGGAATGAAGGTGCACGACCCGGGGCCCAGAGACCCCTACTCCCCGCGGCCTGGCCCG